GAAGGCCGGCATCTCCGCTCTCACGCAGGCCACTCTGGGCGTCCACCTCTCCCAACAGCTCAGGGCGGATGGCGGTAGCCTAGCGATTGCGGTTTTCTGCCAGGCTGTCAATCTATCACTTACTCTATTTATTTATTTTATTTCTCAGAAAAGCATGAAGAAACTGGCAGCTTCAAATGGAACATTTAAACTGCATCAACAATTCACCTTTCAAACTGTTCTGTTTACAGGTCAAAACATGACTTTTGTGCTAACAGGTTCTACCAAGTATGAGAAATGAAATCAAACCGCCTTTTTTGTTTCCCTTGCTTAATACACTACCACCCACAAGGATTCTAGATTCTAAGAATAAAACTTCAGACTTCAGGAGGCAGGATTCTGATGATCTAAGAGGAGTAATAGGGCACCTGTTTCAGGTAATGCTGGCAGCACTCAAAATCATAACATTTATTTGCTGACCCCAAAGCAAGAAGATAATTAATGAAATATCTTCTATAGGACCCATTCTCTGGTCAGAGCACCTGCTGAAGAAAGATAATCATGGCTGACCCCTGCTTCCCTGCTACGGACTGAACAACGAACTTCTCACCTCCCTTTTAGAGAGAACGTGTTCTGTCGTGCCCTCGGCTAGCAGACTACCTGCATCACGAATAGTCTAACTTTCCCATCGGTTCTGGAATTCATTTGGAGCCCCAGGTTTCTGCACAAAGACACCTGCAGCCGTCTCCATCCTTGTCTACACACCTCAGCACAGTTGTAGATTCCGGGTATAGGCAACTAAAATATATACAAGTAAGTAATAGCACAGACCCATCGAGGAAAGTTATTTCTTCAAGAGATGATGCAATGTTCCACTCAATAAACAAAGCAAAGCTTACGAAGGCAGCAAGAAAATGGAGATGATTACATATTTTAGCATAAAGCAACTTAACCTAATTCCGAATTTGTTGGTAAAACATAATATTAATAAGGCCAGAAGAAGCTTATAAGCAGGCTGGTTAACATAAAAGTAAATTATAGAGTCCTATCTAGTATGAAGAAACAAGAGCCAACAGGCTGTCAAAAATGATCTGCGTGAAGCTCTGGAAAACATGTGATAATGGGTTATGTACGAAAGAGAATTAATATAAAATTTCAGGAAGCTGAAGAAAACCTTTTCTGAAAAATTCCAAATCAAACTTGTAGGGGTTTTACATGAAAATCAGAACAAATATGTAAAGGATTTCTCCATAAATCACAACAAAAGTATCCATGTTTTGTTTTCAAGATTAAACCATGAAACAGTATCCTGAGTCTGTGGTGTTTAAGGTAGAGCGTGCACTGCTGGGAGGCGCACAAGACCATCTACTGGTGTAGGAAGAAAACAGAACAACTTCCAGTCAAGATTCACTCCTTAGCCCATCCTCAATTCCTATTTTTGTGCACGTCTCAAAATGTACGTTCGACTTTCCTACAGCGGCACACAGCTTCACTGATGCACATATGATTTCGCAATAGGAAAGATGGGGTTTAAAACCTCAATTGATCAAGGTGTGTTCAGAAAGGCCGCAGACTGCTCTTCTGAAAGGCCAATGAGTGCCTCTAGTGTGCTTCAATTCCCTAGAAACATACAAAACTGCCTTCAGAGATTCAGAATCCCAACACCTATTCTGACAGTAGGATGAAACAAAGTTCTTAGGCTAAAACTCACACAACAGGTTTGAATAGAACTGGAATGATATTACCTACAGGCTGAACTTATAGCCGCAGAATCCCAAGCCTCTTTACTTATTTACTTTACACCTGAGTGGCACAGTATGGAGAAAACTAGAAATCGTCAAAGAATTCTTCCAGTTAAAAAAAAAAAATCCAGGACCCTTTTTCACTATATATACATATACACATACGTGTCTGTGTGTGTGTACATGTGTATATATGTGTGTATCTACACACATGGGCTCATGGGCTTTCTTTCCCCATCGAAATCTAAAGAATAAATTTATGCTTATATAGCTTACATTGCCTTTTTGGGGGTTTCTAGATTATTCCATTATGTACATATTTTTTAAAAATCTATGAAACTTTCTACCTTTGTTAGAAAACACAAAATACGCCACAAGGAATATAACCTCACAAAGGCATTGGCAAACCATTAAAAGAAAGATTACTGAAGTTAGCCATGTGATTTTAATTTTGTGTTTTAAAAAACCAGCACATGAACAAGAAAAAATTTATTTTAGAAATTACGTGAAAACCCACCCCAAGATGGATTAAATGTGGTGGTCTGCTGGCTGAGTGTGTGGCTGTGAGCCAACTGTGTTCAGCCCTTCTCAACTCTAAGGTAGTAGCTTAAAATCAGCCACAGGGGAAGTAATTTAATCATGGAAATCAGCAAATGCTACAATTTAAGGATTTTTTTCCCCTTCAGAAAGCCTGGTTGTTAAACATTTCCCAGAATACAAATGAGTAGATATGGGCCAGAGCAGATGAAAAGCTAAGATAATCACAGATGACTCAAAAACTCATTCAACCTGCTCCCTTAATCTTAATTTGGGCCACTTTTGCCCACCAGCCATCATCCTGGGAATGGACCCCAGCTAGATACCAAACAGAAGTCTCTCCAGTGAACATTGATCTTAAGTGTTAAGTGGTATGTCACCTTTCAAGGCTAAGAACTCTGGATGTTCAAAAAAACATGAAGCTGAGATTTTTGCAGGAAGGAGGTAGTTTATAAATAGAACGGTCTACCTCATACACTTGAGCTCAGGTTGTAAACTTTCATTTAAAAAAGGAAATACACACACACACACACACACACACACACACACACAGGCTCCACAGTCAGCTGATCTCAGAGAAAGCATCGGTCTCCTGAGGCCCACACCTCTTGGAGGCTTCCAGGGTAGGTTTAGAGAGAGGGGACTCACAAAAACTGGTTCCCAAGAAGCTGCTTGGACTGAGTTTAAACGGTGCCCTTGGTTCCCAGGCACCCCTGTGCTGACACAGTTAATCATCAAAGATATTGTCTATGAAAACAACCAATGGCTTTTCTCCTTTAATTCAAAAAGATAAAATACTTTTGTGCTTCCAAAATTTAAAATATCTAGTTAAATCAAGCCATCAATACTTAGATTTCATGTACAAAATATTCATAAACCTAATAAAACTATTCCAAAGTGCTGCTGAGGTCGGATTTCAGATAAGCATGCCCACGAAGTGACTCCGTGTGGGAGAGAAGTCCACCGCCCGCTCCCCACCACCACCGAACACTGCCTCCGAAACTACTTATTGCACACCTCAGGAGCACACCTCTCAGCTGCGAACCACAGGGGAACCAGCGCCGGGTCCCCAAGACAACAGGTGTGAAGACGGCTCCCTGAATGTTGTCCCTCCCCGACTACTAACTGGCACGCATGTCTCACACTACAGCTTCTCTACACTGTATAGAAACATGTTTAAAGTGAATATTATACATCTGGGAGATACTGGCTCATATCAGTGTCATTGTGAGCCCTCAAATCCTTACTCCCCCATTCCATTTCGTTTATGTGACTCAACTACGGATCCACTTCTGGGGTTAAAAGATGAGGTCACTAACGGGCAGTGTTATAGTGGTGGTGGTGGTGGCATATAATCTAATCCTAGACTTTAAAAGCCAAGTTTTTCAAGAGATCCCACTGTGACATTGGTATCAGTTCAGCTTGGAGTACCCACAAATCTGTCCACAGCCGATGCGGAGTACCACGTGGTAGTATTTCATGGATGTAGTAAGGCAGAGACGAAGGCCTACATTTTTCACTATGAACAATCCAATCCCTGTACGTGAGCATTTCCAAACAAATTCTGCTGCTCTCTAATTAAAAAAGTTTTTTTCAAAGACATCTTTACCTCACTAGAGATTTGGAGACTTCACTTTGCTTTTCATCTTCCTAATTACATCTTTAAAAGGATCCCAACCCCTAACAACCTGAAATTTAAAAGATAAATATGCTGTGAACAGAGAAGACAAAGTATCTTCTAACTGGGAAAGAAAGCCCTGCATGTTGTTTCAAGTCACTGAAATGAACGTTTTGCTCAGAGACACCTCGAGATCTCACAACCCAGGTCCATCCTGAAAGCCGTCACTTACCATCTGTAGATATCAGGGGTGCGTAACTGTACCACCCACGAGCAGACAATAGTTCTGTGCTGGACATGGGGTCCCCTGTTCTCACTGGCTGTCACAAACACGCTCGTAAACCCCAGGTTTAAAACTCTTCCTATGTTGAAACAGACCAAGCTCCATGCTGTTCACAGGTTGAAACAAGATCGCACACGTGACTAAGAGATCCCCCCGCCCCATACAGGTAAAGAGACCTTGTTGTGGACTGCTTACACATGCTATGGGCCACAGCCAGACAGAATCTCCCCAACAGTACTGCTCCAATCTTGCTCGGTGTGAACAGGAAGGAATCCTTTCCTCACTGCTCACACACAGCTCACTCTTAGTTATTCAACAGAACACACTTAGTCTTAAAGATGTAGCCAACTGCATTTAACATTTCTTCAAATAATATACTCAAAGCATAATTGTTTTCCTGGTCAAAGGGTCCCAATAAGGCAGAAGGAATAACTTTGTTCTTAACTGCTCCTGCAAAGCATAGCTAACTGCTAAACCCCACCAAATATTTCCTTAAAACAAAGCTCAAAATATTCAGGAAGGAAGGAATGTAGGAAGGAAGGAAGGGAGGGAAGAAAGGAGGGAGGGAGGGAGGAAGGAAGAGAGGGAAGGAGGGAGGGAGGGAGGAAGGAAGAGAGGGAAGGAGGGAGGGAGGGGAGGGGAGGAGAGGGAGGGAGGGAGGGGAGAGGAGGGGAGGGGGGGAAGGTGGAGTTTGCACTCCAATTAAGGCATTTTTATGTACAGTCCAACTTGAGTCATAGTCAAAGGGAATCTTAAAAAGGCATTTCAATGGGGAATGGCAAAAATTACAATAGTCTATTATTAGCATTGTAGAACTATTAATTGCTCACTTCAAATGTAATCATGTTGAAAGTCTTTGTTTCTTTATTCCTTGGTTCTCTCATTCCACAAATGCATAGGTTATGTTTTCTGTAGATCTGGGGAAAACGGGCCAGGGGTGGGTGGTCCATCCAGGCCAGACACAGTGAACGGTCCATGACTGTTCAGTACAGAAGGAAACTGAGAAAGAAAATAAAAACACATTATCATTCTATTACTCAGCCCCAACTTTCAATTTCTGTCCCTGCTACATTCCCTGAGGCAGAAAATGAAAGCCGCCTACAGTGGCTCATGGGACAAAGGTAGTGACCATTTATCATAGAAGAATATGATGTCACAGCAAAAACTTGAAAGAAAAAAACCCTGCTCGTCCTACCTGTGAAATATGACACTCCCCAGCCTACCCTGAGGGAAAGAGGAAACCTACAGCTTCGCTCATAGCCGAAGGTATACAGGTTTACGTTTAACTTCATATGAAAGTTTTAGAAAGTTCAGGAAAATGACAATTTGTGCTGTAGAGTATAATTCAATTATGAAGCAAATCGCAGACTCAAAAAGAGGTCCAGAAAGAGATGCCCATCTATTAACTCTACGACTGGTGCAAACAGTTAGAGGTTCTGATAGTAGGACACTGTCCCCATCATGTACTCAAAGACCAGTTCCATAGGGGCAGTCCAGGCTGGAGCCGCATGAGCACTGTAGCTTTGCCTGAGGCCTCTGGACACTCTCTAACTCAATTATCTGTGAGGGGCAAAGAAAAATGTGAAAATAAAACATGAAAAATTCTCAACACTTTCTATTCAATGATCTAGAACATTTTACAAAACAAAAACGCAGAAGTGGGAAGATTTTTAATTTTCTTTTTTCCTTACCATTTCATTTCCAAATGAACAAATGAAAAACTAAATTACAAATATAAGAAAACTGAATCAGCCAAAATAAATTCTACATGTTATAAAGTCCAGGTGCTTGAGGCAAAATAATGGTTACAAGCTGTATGACCTTTCCTATGATCTTGGCTAATGGATAACACACTATCCATTTTTTTAAATATGTATTTAAAATGTTGACCAAGATCAAATCTAAATGAATGAGAAATGGGAGCACTGGATATACTATTCTCAAAAGCTGTCTCTATTTTTTAAAAATCCTCAGGTAAAAGAGAAAAGCTATGTGCAGATTCTCCTGCAAATTCACACACACACGTACATATGTATGTGTATATTTTCTTCTTTTTACAAAAATAAAAAAAAAAGAGAGAGAGAGAGAGATTTCTAGCATTTAAAATCACAAGGAAATCGGCAGGTTCAAAATCCACTGCAGTACTGAACAATTCTTGGTCTAACTCAAACGTCTGTCACAGTGAACTGTAAAAAGGAGACACTGCTGTGAATACGTGTCGGAGGTGTTCGTCAGCTAGAATTCTGATCAACACTTGGAAGGCGTATTTGTTAAACATGAGTTTTATAATGATAAACCCGAAGAGTGAAGACACTGCCTTCTGGCCTCGCCCTTCGTTGGCTGGGCCCCAACAGCAAGAGACAGGCCCGTGGGTGTTTTACCTGGAAGAGCGTGTTAGCACCTTGCAGTCTGGCTGGGCTCAGGGGGGCGACGGGGCTGAGAGTGCTCCAGAAGTGGATGCTGGACAGCAGGGGGCTCGGCGTCAGCAAGATGGGCGTCTGCAACGCGCGGAACAGACACGGTCACAAAGGATGGTTTCAGCCTTAAAATAATACACCCGCAGCTCCAAACCCAAATACTGTCTTATTCTCCAAATCTCTCAGGAATTTTATCATGAGGGAAAGCTCAGGAATTATTCTGACATCCTAAGAAAGATCAAACTGTCTCCTCACCTGTCTTTTGTAGCGTCTTTCCCAAATAGAGAAACCAATCTGGTCAAGTACAGAGAAACAATGAGTAACTAAGTCACAAACACAGTTAGGAATGGGGGTCTGGGAGTCATCTACTCAAGGTTACAGGAGAGGTGACAGGAGACAAGCAAGTTAAGAAACAGCTAATGTAACTGTGCACACTTGTTACCTGACATCACACCACTTGTTCTGACGTTTCTCAGGATTTACTGTTTTCTAGCTTTTGAGATTATCACTGTTATTTTATAAGATACCAACCAATTCTATAAGACCAAAAGAGAGGGAAAGCAAATAGCTGCTATAGCTGCTTTAGGAGAAACTTGGAAACTATTTATCTATTGCAGAGACGACGAATTCCTTCACAACACAACTCCGAGCCTTTCCTGCGGCGACCCTGACACAGTGACTTTAACGGGGTCACAGCTAACCTGAGTCAACCCTAAATAGCAGGAGAACCTGACGTCCCAAACTCGGGATTTGTTGAGAAAGGGGAGTGGGTGGCGTTGAAGAGGAGGTGGTTACCTGGGAGAAGAGCGCTGGTGTGAGTGAAGCCGTGGGGAGGGACGGGCTCAGTATTCCCAGCGGGCTCGGGTCACTGCCCGTGATCACCAGGATGGGTGCCAGCTCTAACCCTTTGGGTTTCTTGGATCTTGAGGAATTACTTGTTTTGTCCTTTTCCAGCAAAGCTGAATCCTGGTCTTTAGGCTCCAGCGACAAGTTCTCTGGAAGTTCCATGGGCTGAGAAGCCACGGAGTCGATGTCTGTGTCAATGTCAGGGTTAGGGCTCGGCGGCGGCGAAGGCGTTCCAGGAGCATCCTGCACAGAAGGCAGTGCGGACGCATCAGGCGGGGGCGCCAACGCGGTTGTCAGGCCACAGGCGGAGGTCGGGGCCTCCAGGGAAGGCAGTCTGGGGGAAGCCAGGGTCTCCAAGGCCTGGAGCGCTTCTTCCGAAGATGGAGAAACGCTCGGGCCGGCCGACAGCAGCGCGGCGACAGGTTCGGCGGGCAGCTTTTTGGAAGGCGTTGTTACGAATCTGATGACAGACGGCGTGGGCTCCTGCGGGGGTCTTCTCTCCGCCAGCTTCTCGGCTGGATTCTCAATCTTGATCGGTTTGAAAAGCCTCTTGTTGGAGGAGTTGAGAGAGTTGAGAGTAAATGAAGAATACAAGCCAGAGTGTATGTAGTCGTTGCGGCTGGAGGTCCTGACACCAGGCGGAGGTGGCCTCTCTCGGCCCCCGATCTCTGCGTCCCTGGAGCCGCCGGTGACTTCGCCGCAGCCTCCGGCTTCGCCGTCTCCCTCAATCCTGCCCACTGTCATTGGGTCCATTTTCAAAATCTCTGGGTAAGAGACAAACTTGTACACAAACTTCTGACCATTCACTTTTTTAATGATATTCTGTAGATAAATAAAATAAGCATTCTTATACTTTCTCATGAACTTACCTCCCACAGTTCGTGAAAAAGCTGACCCAAGAGACTCTAAGTGGCAAGCAGTTTACTTAAGAGCTTCGAAATCATCTACACTTATCAAGCCACACCAAACCCAGTTCCTACCACCAGGGAGCACAAGTTGAAAATATTTAAACATCTCATTAACAACTGAAACAGTACATTACATAAAAGAGAGATTTCAACTGCTTAACACTCCCAACCAAATATCGGTATTAAGTCAAAAATCACTGAACACAAGCTCAAATAGTTCCAAAGGCACAAGCCAGACGCATCCTGAGGAAGCAGAAAGGAACAGAATGTTACTTCTGCTGAGGTTTCTGCCTCCTTCTAAAGTCCCAGTTGTTTGTTACTTCCTGTCCTCATACAGAAAAACTGGTAAGATCAACCTCTTCAAAGTGAGGGGCGCCTGGGCGGCTCAGTCAGTTGGGCATCTGACTTCTGCTCAGGTCATAATCTCACAGTTCATGAGTTCGAGCCCCACGTCAGGCTCTGTGCTGACTGCTCAGAGCCTGGAGCCTGGAGCCGGCTTGGGATTCTGTGTCTCCCTCTCTCTCTGCCCCTCCCCTGCTCATACTCTGTCTCTCTCTCTCAAAAATGAGTATTAACAAAAAAAAAGGTGAAACTAAGATCTCAGCTTCTCATTCTAATTCTATCCATTTGAACCACTTACTTTACCTCAGGGACCAAGAAAATATTCAAAATAATATGAAATCAAACAAAAAATAAATTTCAACAAAGAAATCAAATGTGTGCACTAACAGCTATTAAGGTATTTGTGTTCTCTGAGTTACATTAAAAAGTAAAAAGTAAATAAAGCTAAAACACATGCATATGTGTGACAATTTTTAGGTTATGATATACACAAGAATGTTTATCCTCAAGAATCTCCAATTTTCTTCTCCTTATTCCAACCCTATGATCATTTTTCCTTTGACGACAACTGCAATTAGGAACAAAATATGTGTGAGCAATGGGACTCTGTAGAAACAGAGCTGGCACGCTTACAAATCTCATCCTAATTCCACACTGCTGAAGGCATCAAATAAATTGGTCAAAATAATCCAAGACCATGATCACTTGGCAATGTATACAAATATCAAATCACTATGTCTATGTCTCATACCTCCAGCGAATATAATGGTATATGTCAATTACACGTTGATCTAAAATGATTTAAAAGAAACCAGGACAGGAGTTGTTTCATAACCTCAAAGGAAGAGAGGACCAAGTCTTGTTCTGAGATGCATGCCTGTTACCTTTACATAATAGTATCGGAGGGCTCGGCTGAGTTTGTCGTAATTCATGTTGGGCTTGTTCTTACGAATCCCCCAGAGACGAGCCACCTCTTCTGCCTGCAGGAGCTTGAACTCCCCGTCATTGGATGTCCAGCTGATCATGTGTTTGTTCTGAGGCTCCTGGAGGAGCTGCAGGAGGAACTGCCACAGGGTGATGGCACTGTCCATAGCAGTGAGCTGAAAGAGGCACAGACAGGACATACGACAATATTAACAGCCACACTCCTGTAACAGCCTGTGCCAGGCACCGTGCTCTAAATGTATTATTTCATATAATCCCTCAACAATCCTACAAGCCAGATACTGTCGAGGCCTCATTTTACATTTGAAAACACTGACTCAGAAAAGAGTTAAGTCACTCCTGGGAGGCCGCACAAGTAATGGGTGAAGCTGACATTTAAACCCTGGCAATGAAGGTCTAGAGTCCAAACTCCAATGCATGCCACGCTGCTTCAGAAAAGTTTTGCTGGGAAATAAAGTGAGTTCTGTAAGTCCCAGGAGCAGTCGGATGATGGCCACTCACTGAGCACCACTACTACTACATTTTAACTGAAAAGCTCCTCATATCCTCTGAGACCACCATTTTAGCATCTATACAAATCAACCCAGTTGGTTCATTTGCCAGGATGTGTGTGTTATGTGTATATCACCTGGGCCTGAAGATACAGGGAATAATCTACTCTTGCTCCACTGGCATTTCTCTTCCAAATAGTTTCCGTTCTCATAAATTAATGTACATTTAAATTGGCAGCACTGAAAATTCAACAAAATGCTCCGATTTATTTGACAAGTTCTGTCACCAATCTGCCCACAGGGCTTCCACCTACATAAATTACTCCTTTCTTTTTTTTTTTTTTCAATTGGGCTCTACACCCAACGTAGGGCTTGAACTCACAGCCCTGAGATCGAGAGTTGCATGTTCTACCAACGGAGTCAGCCATACCTCCTCTTTCATTTGGTTAGTGGCCTTTATGTGATTACCAAGACAAGAAATGAAAAGGCTTTCAATACCAGGTTTTAGGATTTCCCTGTTTAGGCCAGAGTTTCTCACCTTTGGCTCTATTGACATTTTGGGCCAGATAATTCTTTGTTCCTGGAGGCTGTCCTGTGCACTGTACTTGAACTCACTAGATGCCAGTATCACCTCCTGACCGGCTGTGACGATCAAACACGTCTCCAGACACTGCCAGATGTTCTCCTGGGAGACAAAACCATCCCAGTTGATACCACTGGTTTAGGCATCAGAGCAGCAAGGAAGTGCTCTCATGGGAGTTATTTCCCTCATAGAACCTCAAAATTCCCATTAGGAAGAACTCTTTTTGGCAGAAACTCTGGCCAAATATATATAAGCACATCCTAAGACAGACAGACAGACAGACACACACACACACACACACACACACACAAACAAATAGAAAAACCTTCCTTTCTTTACCTAGGAATGAAATCTCAATGGACCAGAATAGGACTTAAAAACAAATTAAATCAATCCCATTAGAATACTACAAAAATAGGTTAAGTTGGGCTATATCAAAATTTAAAATCTTTGTGTTGCAAACTCAGGTGAAAAGACAATCTTTAGAACGAGAGAAATTATTTTCAAATAAGGGACTTGTATCAGAAATATATAAAGAATTCTTGTAATTAAAAAAATAGAAAATAGTTAAAAGAAGTGCAAAGACATTTCTTCAAAGAAAATATACAAATTGAGGTGCCTGGGTGGCTCAATCAATTAAAGCGCCGACTCTAACTCAGGTCATGATCTCGCGGTTCATGAGTTCGAGCCCTGTGTGGGGCTCTGTGCTGACGGCTCAAAGCCTGAAGCTTGCTTTGGATTCTCTTTCTCTCTGCCTCTCTCTGTCTCAAAAATAAACATTAAAAAAAAAAAGAGTACAAAGAATTAAAAAGACAAATTGACAATAAGCTCACAAAAAGATCCTCAACATTAGTTATTAGGGAACTGAAAATTAAAACTGCAGAAGACACTTCACACCTCCCAGGATGGATATCAGCAAAGAGAGAGACACTAACAAGTGTTGGCTAGGATGTGTAGCAAGTGAAACCCTCATGCGTTGCTGGTGGGAATGTAAAACAGTATTGCCACTCTGGAACACAGTGTGACAGTTCCTCAAATTGCTAAGCAGAAATACCATATGACCCAGCTATTCGGCTCCTACATATATATCCAAGAGAACTGAAAATACACGTCCAACAGACGCACCTGCACAGGACGGTCACAGCAGCATTAGTCCAGAACATCCAAACAGCAAAAGCAACTTAAATGTCCGTCAACTGATGATGAGTGGACAGCAAAATGTGGCGTAACTACTGGAATATTATTCAGCCAGAAAAAAAAGGACTTTAGTACCGGCACATGCTACAACACAGATAAACCTTGAAAACATTGTGTTAAGTGAAAAACACCAGCCACAAAGGCCACATAATTTTATTTCCATTTATGTGAAATGTTCAGAATAGGCAAATGTATCAGACACAAAGCAGATCAGTGGTGGGGCACCTCGTGGCTTAGTCGGTTAAGCGCTGACTTTAGTTCGAGGCATGATCTCGTGGTTCATGAGTTTGAGCCCCACGTTGGGCTCTGTGCTGACAGCTAGAAGCCTGGAGCCTGCTTGGGATTCTGTGTCTCCCTCTCTCTCTCCTCCTTACCCCCCCCCGCCCCCCGTTCATGCCCTGTTCTCTCAAAAATAAATAAATTAAAAAAAAAAAAAGTAGACCAGTGGTTGCCAGGGGCTGGGTGGAAAGAAGAATGGGGAGTGACTGCTTATGGGGTGATATAAATAAAAGATTGCGATGGTGGTTACACAACTCTTTGAATACACTAAAACCACTGGGTTGTACAACTTAAGTAGATGAATTTTGTCTCAATAAAGATGTTAACAACAAATTAACACTACAACCATTACAAAAGTGTGGACCTCAGAAGCCTAATTCTAACAAAGAGTATGTAACTCACAAAGGATGGGATCCTGAAGGGTCAACAATGTCTCTCCCGCCAAAAAAAGGCAGGAGAAACTGAAGCGGGAAGATGGCTGGGTTTCTATAACTTTTCTGAGACACTCAAAAATATCTTCCAATAATCTTCAGTTGTCACTTTGAACTTGGCTATACAGGTACCCGCACCCAAAAGTAGAGATGGGAAAATAATAAAGAACAGAAAGTGGGAGATGTCCCCGGTCACAAGGTTAATGGAGAAGCTGAGCCCATGAGCCCAAGTCTTTTTCATCAGTCCCACTCTGTTCACCAGGAAAACCACTCCCTGGATGGATAACAGCATTCCCGTCAGCAGCTGGGGGTAAAGAAATATTACATATTAAGTACTAAGTAACAATAGCCTAGAACTATCAAGTGCAACCTCAATACTAAGTAACTATGCCCCTAATCTTACCCATGGCCTCACTTAAGCTGAGTTTAAAAAGTAGTTTAAGGGGCGTCTGAGTGGTTCAGTCGATTAAGTGTCCAACTCTTGATCTCGGCTCAGGTCATGATCTCACCGTTCATGGGTTTGGGACCTAAGTTGTCAGGCTCTACACTGACAGTGAGAAGCCTGCTTGGGATTCTCTCTTTCTCTCTCTCTCTGCCCCTCCCCTGCTGGTTCTCTCTCTCTCTCTCAAAATAAATAAACTTAAAGAAAAATAAAAGTTAAATTTAAAAAAAGTGGTTTCATATTATGATCTATCAAGAATGGGGGGGGTAATCATTCCTCTCAGTTTACCAGAGATAATAATGCCTGTTTATGGCCAGTTACCTTTTAATTACAGATGTTTGCCACCTAAATGATTTTTTTGTTCAGTCTAAACCTGTTAAAGCTACTTTCTAATAAATTTTAGCTTAGCCAAAGAACGGTCTTCATATTTCCAAGCATCATCTTCATATCAATAATGCTTATGGGGTTGGGGTGTGAATGTAGGTGTGTCTGAAAGAGAGGGAGGAAGAGAGAACACCAGTGGGAAGGGAAAGAGGGGTAAAGGGGAGGTGGGGGAGAGAGGGAAGGGAAAAATTAAAGAGAACTGAATCTCAAAACGATCACAAATTTGGTACCTATAGTTCCGTTTGTTTTTGGAAAAATTCCCAAACTAAGACTAGAATCGTAATACCTATCACGTAGATAATGCTTGGGCCCTATACGTTAATAATGGTTAAGGTAGGCATGCAAAAACAGAAATAACCATGGACATCGCCACCCCAAAGCAAGGATGCTCCCAAAGGGGTTCGAGTTTCACCTTTCAACTTCCACCTTCCTAGGCTGGTTACTAGGGGGACAGGGCACGGATGGAGTCAAGTGCTGGTGGGCTGCTGCCACCTCAGGCAGAACTCAGCTCTCCAGGGAAATGCTGCTGCTTTAGGACCCTAGAGAAAGTGGTTGAGAATCAAAGAAAAGGGGCCTTGTGGTTTGGGGATGAAGTACTGGAAAAGAATGTTTCTTTGCCAGAAACTAACAAAGATATAAAATGGACATCTCCAGTGGGGACTTTAAAAGAATCTTTTATTCAATTTTGATAACAGGTTATACTATTTAACTGAAAAGTTGGTGAACCTTTGGGTATACAGTCAAGTTGAGCCTCTTCACTTTGGCTCCTAAAAAGTGTGCTATTGATCTGAAATTCAATGATTTCCTCAGCTATAAAAGAGAACAAAAAGGAAAAAAAAATCCAGAAGACAATTTAAAAGGTGAAACCAAAAGACCAAAAATACAAATACTTTTATTCTAGCTATTTATCAATAAAAACCTTTACTTTCCTTCACAGGAAAACTCACGTTTTCTAAAATTACAATTTTAAAAGAGTTTTTCAGAAGTCTAATGAGGGAGAGAAATACCTGTTGCAAATCAAAGAATTGAGTCTTGAGGAGTTAAGGTTGAAAACGTAATAGATTCTACCGTAACACTTCAAAGGTAGCTCGATCCCTATGCTAAACGGAAAGAGAGTCTGTTGAAATAACCTATTAGGGAAAGGAAGTCTCTAGTAAATGAAACTTTTTCCACCCTAAACATGTTTATAATACACATAGTCCAGTTGCTGTGGTGACCCACTGCCCGACTATTTTTCAGCAACAGCAGCTAAGACCCAAATAATAAATGGCTCCAAATTCAGCGTGCTGCTTAAATAAAACAAAACCAAATTATGAAATGTATCAAGACTTGTTTTGAGTTAAAAATCACCGTTGAAAAGTAACCAGGAGTCTCTTAACTGTACCCTATATTAACATAGTATTAAAAGTATAGTTACATGGCGGTAAAACTTGAAGACAATATTTTCCTAAAAACGTAAGAGATTTCACTCACGCAGTCTTAATGTTTAAATAAAATCAAAGAGAAAGGAATTCCTGACGGGGGTTGGGGCGATAAAGGAGTGGGAAACTGAATCATAGCTACAAGTTAACGAAAACACCGCCGACAGTCCTAAACATGAAAGCACCGAGTTTTTCACGCAGTGGGCTGGTGGCTGGGAGACACGGCAAAGGGATGAAATTGTCGAGACGAGGGAGGAGACTCCAGAGTCTTCACGTGAATTCCCTAAACTTCAAACAGCAACATCCTGGGGAAAAAGTCAACTGTGTATCCTTTGACTAGTTCAGTCAACAACAGCCACTTAATTTGCCGCCCCCCCCAAGGCGCTTCCAATTGCTCCTCCCAGAACCGAGACACGACCGGCCTCGCCGCCGCTGTACATCAAGCGGAAAGTGAAGGGGGGAGGGGGCTCGCGGAGGAGAAGTAGAGAAAGAATGAAACTTGACACCGGATGAATCGCGAACTTCGGGAGAGGAAGAGACTCGGGTGACCGAGTGCCCGGGAGCAGATCAAAGTCCGCCGAAAGAGCCGCAAACTCACGCGTCCCCGGTAAGCACTGAATTACTGTACTTTCATTTTCCAACTTCCTGCCACCACAAAGAGTCAAAATTCGCCCCCTCTCCCCAAGCCAAAAAGCCACCGCCACCCGGCGCCCAGGGACCTCGCGGAACTAAATAAGCGGCGAAGCGGGGGACCGCGCGCTCCGAAGTCCACCTGCGCGCCGCGGGGCCGGGGCCGCGGGCGGGGCAGGCCCCAGGGGAGCGCGCGCCCGCCCACCCCCGCCGCCACGCTCACTTCCTGTTGTGCCGCCTGCCCCCCGGGCCCCGGCCCCCGCCCCCGCAACCCCCGGCTGGGGGACGGCGGCGCGAGCGCCCGACGGAGCGCGGGATGGACGGGGCGCGCGGGGACCGCAGCTCACCGAGGCCGCGCGCGGGGCTCCCTGTGGGTCTCCGCCTCGAGCGCGATGCTTCTCTCCGCCCGCCGCCTCCTCACGCCGGGAGTTCGAGGACGGCGCGGCGGCCGCTGCGACCCCCGCGGCGGAGCCGGAGAAGGCGGCGGCGGCCGAGCCGAGCCCGCCGGGTGCCCGCAGCCGCCCGCATCGCCCGCCGGGGCTCCTCGCGCCCCGCCCTCCCCGCCCCCGCACGCGGCGGTGGCGGCGGCGGCGGCGCGGGTCGTGGGGCCGCTACCCGCCGGGCGCGCGCTCGGGGCGTTCCTCGCCGGGGCCCGGCCTGCCAGTCGCTCCGCGGCCGCCGCCGCCACTCTCAAACCCCCCGGCTGCGTCGGGGCCCCTCCCAGACGCCGTAGCCGCCGCGCGTCACTTCCGGGGGCGGGAAGGGTGGGGCGGCTGTCGGAGTGGGCTGCGAACTGCGGCCGCCCAGAGCCCGGGTTCGGGGGTCCCGGGAACCGGGTGTGAGCGTGGGCGTGGTGAGGGTGCCCCCTGGAGTTCCGCACTCGCCGCCCTCCGCCGGACTACCGGGTGGCCACTAACAGCTGCAGCGCCAAAGCTGCCGTCTGGGCGGGGGGGAGGGGGGCACCTAGGACGGCCTGGGGCCTCTCCGCATCTCCCAAGTCCGAGAGTGGAGGCGACGCTCGCCGGGATCCCCTTTGTTGTTGCTAAGCTGAAGCGTGAGGGCTTCTCTCTCTCTCCCCGGACACTTGTCTTGCCTTCCCCAGGCTAAACGGTCGGGGTAGTTGGTGCCGCTGCAGTTTGCTCATCCAAGTACCGGCTCCCAGGACGCTTAGGGACTCCCCTGATGAATATTGTATCATCAGCACTGTGGCTCGCTAGACCGGGGACTGACAAATGGAGTCAGATTTGAAATCCAGTCGTGGCTTTGCCCCTCACTAACTCCCTGATCTTAGTAACTATAACCTCCCTAAAGCTTCATCATCTGTAAAATGGAGAGAACCCAGTCTCAGAGCTGTGATGATTAAAGCAGATAAGGTGCATAAGTCACCTAGCAGGGTTTCTAGCACATAGGTTCTCATAAATAGAATTCCTAAGGAACCAAGTCACACTTGGTATTAGAGACTAACTGAGTAATTTAGCAGCAGAAGAGATGCACAGTCAGTAAGCTGGACTGCTGAACAAAACCTGGAAGAAATAGCTTACATATTCTTTTTAACAAGAAACCAAATACACACCAGTGTCTGAGTTATTTTTACCTGGTCATTTACTAGCTGTAAGACCTGCAGTGAGTTACTTAACCTCTCTGAACTTCAATGCCTCATGTAAAATGAAGGGAATGTCAGCATTGCTGAAAAGGTCAAATGAGATAGAGACTGTAATGTGCTTCGTGCATTTCCTGGCACCTAGCAGACACCCAGTAAACGGTGATGTTACTTACTCTTGCCTCCACGTCACTCCCACAATTGAATTCAAGGTAAAATTAATTGAACTCACTGAGTAGAATGTGCTCCTATAATCCCTGTGTAGGCTTTTGGAAGAGAATTGGCACTTCTTTTTGTTTCCAACCTCCTGCCCTAGTACAGAGTAATTATAACACAGAGGTATTCCTGTACGCGGAGGAGCGCTACCAAAAGATGTTAGCTTTCTAAAAATAATTTCACCAGAGGATGTAAACATATTTTCATTAAGAGGAAACATGCAATAACTGAAAAACACCAGCACTCTTGGCTTCTGGTATAAAGGTTTTTCCTTACAACAGTTTCCATTTTAGAAACCTAGAGGAAAAAATAAGAATTATTAAGGTAGGCTGTTTTAGGAGACACCCTTGAAACATTTGTTTATAGAAAGATTTCATTTTAAGCCTTGTATCAAGAACCGTTAAGTAGGGCAGAACTCTTCCCCGCACTAGCCTGTTCTCCCCAACCTAGCAGTAAACATCTGATTCAGCCTCAAGGTCTGTCTTATCACAAATGCTTATGTACTAGCTGACTGTATCGTCAATTGCAGTGTATTTTTGGAAAAGATCCTACTTTGGGAGTTCTTAAATTAGTCATAACAAGTCTGCTTTTAAATTATCTTTTTTTTTTTTAAACAGTACAGGTTGACAGCAGAGAAACTAAAAGAAAAGTCAGATTTCAGGTTAGTGAACTGGGGCGGGGGGGTGTAGTTTATTGTCGTGCTTGGGTCGTGCTTGGTTTTCCCACTCAAGATCCTATAAATACAGACTCTCTCTCCATGGTTCCTCACACAACAGATGGTTGTTTTTGCAAACTCCATGGTGGTTATGTTGCTTTTTTGTTACTTGGGTCACTTTCCCACTCAATAGATAGATTTCCAATGGTAACCTTAGGCAAATTTGCGGGTTTTATTTATTTAGTATGTATGTGTTTTTCTGCTTGAACTGCCCTAGATTGTGTTTTTCAACCAACTGAGTTACCCAGCCCTGCCACCCCGTTCCCCTAATTTAATTACATTTCCTCTCCCAAGAACCCCGAGTTATGATTATTTCTTCTCAAAGCAATTTCCCTTTTCCTCTCTTCTTTTTCACTACCTTGTCATTACCCAAGATTAGTGTTCCTTTTTCCTAAAGAAATATTTCACGGACTCTGACTGGACAAGCATGGACCAACCATCCGAGCCTGTTCTGTCTTCCAGGTGATGGCTTGTAGCACGTGAAATAAACAAATAAACGTGAACTCTAAGTCAGAGGAAGCAGCAACAACCCCAGAGAGGGACAGATGTGAAGTATGGCCAGCATGAAAGAATAAAAAAAATCTAGGATTTCTGGGTTCTAGCTTGTTAATCTCCCTAAACTCCTCACTTGATCCTCTTGGGAAAATCCTTACGACTTTTCCCTTCTGGGCCTCAACTTTCAATATCTTTAAAAAATAAGAGATATTCATATCATACCTTTCAATTTGTATTCTCTGGTGGATGGAGGAAACAAGACAGGTGATCAAACTATGCTTTGAGTACTTGCGGAATGACCCTATAGTTATTATGTCTGTGGGACGTGAAATGGGAAAGTTCTCACTGAAAATAAAACGTAGGCCAACTAGGTACTGAACTTGGCAGCATTTGCTAACCCCACTACCTGTCAAGGCCCTAAAATTCACCAAAGATGACCAGGAATGTGCAGGTTAGAAGTATCTTTACACCAAGACTATTATTCTGGGCAAAGAAGTCTCATCTCTAACAATAAGATTTCTAATCCGAGGCTATTCAAGGTCCAGAGAAAAACCCACAAAAAGGTCCTTGAACAAGGTGTTTGTAGCCTCTGAACTATGAGGAAAGCTCATGGAAAATCTTTCAGCCAGAGCTATAATCTTCACACAACTCCCTGTTTTCCCAGAGAGGACATGACAAGACATGACTTATTGCAGTCACGTGCCTGGGGCGTAGGACCTGCTTAACACATTTCAGAACCTCTCCCGAACACACCTCAGAAATAACTGCATATTCTTTTCTTCACGGGAATCCACACCCAGTCTACTTCTTTCCTCCTCCCCTAAGGTTTTTTAACTTAAAACTATTTTACTGGTCTTTGATACATGTACTTTCTCTTAGTTGTGATAATTGACAGACTATGTCCTAGAGAAAGAGAACAGGGGCGCCTGGGTGGCTCCATTGGTTAAGCGTCCGACTTCGGCTCAGGTCATGATCTCATGGCTCGTGGGTTTGAGCCCCGTGTCGGGCTCTGTGCTGACTGCCAGCTCAGAGCCTGGAGCCTGTTTCAGATTCTGTATCTCCCTCTCTCTCTGACCCTCCCCTGCTCATGCTGTCTCTCTCTCTCAGAAATAAATAAAACATTAAAAATTTTAAAAAAAGAAAGAGAACAGAACCGATCGCTTCCTTCCTAATTGCTCTCTGCAAAAGATGTAACTCGATTGACAAGAGTTCGTGAAATCCATCCTGTGGGTAACCATGTAAGATTCTGTGTGATTTGAGTAACTCATTGTAGGATATGTATTTCTCTGAATTCTAAGCCAGAAGTTTTGCTTCCTCTCTTGTATGTTTTATGGTAACTGCCTTGAAAATTTTTTTCACTTAATTCAGATACGACCATCAAAAGGTTTTGTTCATTTTTTTAGGAACTCTCAGTCCTGGACCAGCGACACTGGCGCCCTCAGAGACTATTATTACTATCCACAGCTTCCATAGATTTTAGAGTCCCCCCCCTCCCCTCCCCCCCACCGGCATTGTCTCTTTTGATCCTATTGACATAGACAAGAATTCGGCTAAGCCTCCAGAGATGATGGGGAAGGAGAAGTCAGGCTGACAGATGAAGGGGTAAGTGCAGCTCTTACAGTGAGTGTGGTGCTTTGTGGTGAGGAGGGAGAAGGAGGGAAATGACCACCTCCCCCTGCATTCAGGAACATTTCCTGAAAGAGGTGGAGTTTGAGAGACTTGGTGCTAATTCAAAAATGTGTAATGCCAGCTTTTTTCTGCCTTACTTTATTTATCCAGCTGCAAAACAGAATTCGTTTTGCCATGCAAAAGAACGCATGGCTGGTGAGTTGGATACCCAATTCAGAAGTGTGACACAGCCACCAGCTTCCCTCCTTCAGACTCTCAAGGAAGGAAGTTTTAATTCTGTCTAGGCTCACCCCATAAAAGGGGGAAATTGTTGGTCTATAGGGCTTTATTCCCCCTCCCTTCTTTCTCCCAGCTTCTCCCTGCGTCTCAGAAAATGCAGCGGTGATACATGTAACTGATTGAGTTGTCTAGAAATGAGACTTCAGTGAGAGAGCCCGGAAGTGGAGGGAGAAGAGGGGACTCTCCCATGATGGGAGAGAATCCGACCACAAAGTTTCATGGAGCAAAGAGAATTCTGGTTAGATTTTGTTTGGAATTGTATCCCTGCCCCGTGCGTATATACCTTATCTTTGTTTTTGTTTTTTTTTTGCTTCCTCCCCACCCCTACCCCAGCCCTCTCCCTAGGCCTTATTTTTCTTTCTCTGCCTACTTTTCCTTTCCCCTTATTATTTTTAAAGCTTATTTATGTAGTTATTTAAGTAATCTCGACACCCAATGGGGTCAAAGTAATGAGCCCAATGTCAAGAGTCACATGCTCTTCCAACCTAGCCAGCCAGGCACCCTTACATTTCCTTTCCCTTTTTATCTCGCTGCCTTAACCCTGCCATTGGCCACCTTGAGAATTTATTAGCCATGAAAGTGGTTTTTAGGCCTGAGAAGATTTCAAATCAATAATTGGTAGGGCATGTGACTCTTGATCTCAGGGTTGTGAGTTCAAGCTCCACGTTAAGGGCAGAGTTTATGTAACAACCAAAAAAAAAGAGAGAGAGAGAGAGAGAGAATTAAGCAATGCTTCATAAAATATATATATAATTTTTAAGCATTAACTGTGTGCCGAGCACTGCACTGGACACTTCAGGAGATGCAAAGATGACCAAGACCAGTCTCCTCTCTTTAGAAGTTTCTAAAAGAGAAGGGGCTACAACCCATTGTGACACCGGAGGGGGCGAAGAAGACTGTGCTGGAGGAAGGGAGGAAGGTCAGAGGCTCCTCCTGTCCTTGGGGGTGGGGGGAGGACGCTGTACTTGGAGGAAGCAGGAAGGGGTTTGTAGGGAAACATTCTGTCTGGGATGCCCTGCTCCGGGGGCTGACCCCTACATTAGGTCTCAGCTCAGCTCCAAAGTCACCTGCTCTAGGGTGTGTGACCTCCACCGTCTCCCACCGCGGCCAGCACTGTCCCTGTGTGTGGCGCTCGCCACACTCACCTTAAGTTCCTCCTCTGTCTGTGCCACCCTTCAGGCCGAGTCCTCCAGAGGAGAGCCCAGGCCCCAGTCACCTTTCCGGTCCCAGACACGGCGCAGACCCTCCGCCAGGTGCTGCTCGGTAAGTACTAACGGGGCCACTAGATCAGCGGGGCCAAGGGGGGCACCAGGAAGACACAGCTGGGAGGTGTGCCAGGCCCAAAGCTTGAGCCCGCCCCCCTCGCCACCTCTGCTCTCACTGCAGCCCGCTGGCCTCTCCCAGGTCCTTAGCCTCACCCCTCTCCATCCTGCCCGTCAAGTCGTTCACTCTCACCCATCCTGAGAAAACTTTCCCTTCAACCATCAGCCTATCTTTTCCTTCCTTTCAGGATCAGACTTCAAAAAGTAATGGTTTCTATTTGCGGCCTTCGCTTTCTCAGCTTCTGCTCACTCTCCAGGCTCCTGACTGTGTCTGCTGTCCCCACATAGACTCTTTGAGGCATAAGCCCACCCACCATCTCCTGGTCCTCCTCGAGCCCGGCGTGGACACCCCCTCTTTAAGTAACACTCCCTGACCTCCACAGGAGCTGAGATGTCCCTTCTTGGTGTCTTCGGGGAAACGCTGGCCTCTCCTGGCCTCCCTGATTCTCCCTCTTACTCTCTGACCAGTTTTTGTCTCCTGCGGGGCTTCTGTTCCATCAGCTCTGAAGAATGGGCTCTCCCCTAGCCCCGGGCTTCTGTCTTTGGACTGTGGTCCCTCGACTCCCTGCCCATGCGGGACCTCACTCTCCCCAAAGCTTTATTTACCACCCAAACTTCTAAGGACCCCCAGCCTTTATTTCTGACCCTAAATTCTCCCCTGACCTCTGGATCCATGTCTTACATTTCCTGTAGGATTTCTCTTTCTGGATGTCCTTACAACCCTTCCATCTTAGAATAAATATATAACTTGAGGGGCGCCTGGGTGGCGCAGTCGGTTAATCGTGCAACTTCGGCTCAGGTCATGATCTCACAGTTCGTAGGTTCGAGCCCCACATTGGTCTCTGTGCTGATAGTTCAGAGCCTAGAGCCTGCTTTGGATTTTGTGTTTCCCTCTCTCTCTGCCCCTCCTCTGCTCACATTCTGTCTCTCTTTCTCTCTCTCAAATATAACTAAACATTAAAATACATATATATATATATATATATATATAAAATTTGAACCCATTGCCTACACCTGCTGCCTGTACCAGCTCTTCCCTCCCTCTTCCAGCTGAAAGCGCCGCCCAGCCACCTCAGGTGCCCTAACAATTCCTTCTTCCTCCCCCCACCCCCCATACGCAATCGGTCACCGCGGTCTGTTGTATCTCTTCTCTAGAATGTCTCACATCCATCCCTCCTCATGGCTGTCCCCAAGGCTCTCAGGGTCTCTTTCCAGGACTATTGCCGTGGCCTTCTGCTTTCTCTCCTGGTGCCCAGGCATGCCAGCCCACACCCACACTGCCTCGGGGGAACCTTCTGAAACACCCATTTGACTCTGTCACTCATCTGTTTCACAGTGTCCAACAATTGATTTCTCTGCTGCTTCCAAGATAAAGTCCAAACTCGAACCTGTCCGACCTGTGATGGACAAGGTTTAAAGGCCATATCCAGTGCTCCTTGTTTTGATTAGTGACCCTTTCCAGTCTGACCCCTTTTCAGCCTAATCCAGCCTCACGAACTATAGGCCCTCGAACATATCCAGCACTGCCAGGACTAGCCTTTTGCTAGTAGCGCTCTCTCGGCCTGGACCGCCCCCTCCACTCCATGGAGTTCCTTGAAAGCAAATACCGTGCCTGTCATCTCTGCACAACCCGTGTTCCCTAGCCTTGTGCCTGACACATAATAAAGACTTAGTAAATTTTGAGTAAAGAACTCCCAGGGTTTTTTAAAAAAATTTTAATATTTATTTGTTTTGAGAGAGAGAGAGATGATCCCAAGCAGGCTCCGCACTGTAAGTGCGAAGCCCGACACCCCCACTGCACCCACATCACTTACCAGGGCAGCGAGGAAGGCAGAGGCATGCGCTAAAAATGTTCTTTTTAAAAAGATGTAAGCGCTACTGCTAGAAATCCGTATTTTCAGCAGTTTTCTGTGAGCTCACTGAAGTGAAGGCTTGGGCCACCTCCACCCATTCGTCCCCCCGCGGGGACAGTCTCAGCTTCCCAGCCTAGCAGAGCCAGCACTGCTCTGAGCCAGCTCTCGACAGAGTAATGAGGAGGTGAGGCCTATGGCCCTGCCCTGTCCTCCCTGTCCCCTGCCTCCCGTTGTCCCGAGTACCCCCACACCTCCAAAGCATGCTGACTCCGTAGGTCACTTCTGCAGTCTCTGAAACTCTCACTGGTCAAGGACCTCCGAGAGGGTAGGAACTATGTCTGTCTTTTCACCCTCTACCTCTGCCGTCCCTTTCAAAAATTGCTCCTCAGAAAACATTTCAAGTCACTTATATTCTCTTATGAATTCATGTCAGTACCTTGTCTTCCCAGGGATATTTGCATCTTATGTCTTCTTTCTTTTTTTTTTTTTTAACTTTTATTTATTTTGAGAGAGAGTATGAGGAGGGGAGGGGCAGAGAGAGAGGGGAAGAGAGAGAGAGAATCCCAAGCAGGCTCTGCACGGTCAGCATGAAGTCTGATGTGGGGCTCAAACTCACGTACTGAGCCGAAACCAAGAGTTGGATGCTTAATCGACTGAGCCACCCAGGCGCCCCAAGTCTATTTCTAATTATGGTCTGCAATTAAGGAGATTCAGAGCATCAGCTAAGAAGTGAACATGGTTGGTAGAATGTTCAGCAGGGAGAATCTTCCTTCTCGGGCTTCTGTGTTGTCACCTGTAAACTCAGGGAAGTGTTTGATTTCTAGCCCTGGTATCTATGAGTCGCTGATTTGTCTGGCCTTAGCAAAATCTCCTTGAAGTAGCCACGTTTCCCGCCAGAAACACAACCTGTAGGATGCCCGCAGAGAGAAAGATCTGTTACAGGGAAGTGGCTGCCACGCCTATGGAGACTGACACGTCCCAAGATATGCAGGTGGAGTTGGTGAGCTGGAGGCCCAGGAGAGCCAGTGGGTAGTTCCAGTCCATGTCTGAAGGCCTGGGAGCCAGGGCAACTGTGGTGTAGCTCCCGTCTGAAGGCCAGCAGGCTCATGGCCCAGAAAAAGCCAGGGTTTTAGTGTGAGTCTAAAGGCAGGAAAATGTGATGTCCCGATTTGAAGGCAGTCAGGAAGGAGGAATTCTGTTTTGCTCAGAGGCAAGTCAGCTTTTTTTGTTCTGTTCAGACCTTCAACTGATCAGACAGGGCCCACCCACATTGGCTTCACTGTCTTCAAATTTAAATGCTAATCTCATCCAAAAACACCCTCACAAACACCCCCAGAATGTTTGACCATACGTCTGGACACCCCGTAGCCCCATATCAAATTGACACACAAAATTAATCATGTAGATGTAGATGATTTGGGTGAGCCAAAGGACCTAGCCCTGGGGGTGAACAGGAGACATCAGATGGGAAAGTTCTTTGACCTTGTGGACATGCAGGCAAGGCCATCCTTGGTTCTTAACTCCACCTTTTCCTTGGCCCCCCATCCACCAACCCCACAACTCTTTCCACTCCCACTTCACACTTAAATATTTTTAACAGAAAGACTTTTTTCTTTATAGATATATAGTTTGAGAAAGAGAGCGAGCAGGGGAGGGGCAGAGAGAGAGAGGGAGAGAATGAGAGCAGGCAGACTCCCCACTGTCAGCACAGAGCCGGACACGGGGCTTGATCTCAAGAACCATGAAATCACAGCCTGAGCTGAAATCAAGAGTTGGACACTCAGTCGGCGACTGAGTCACCCAGGTGCCCCTATTTTATTTTATTTTTTAAGTAAACTCTTCACCCAGCATGGGGTCTGAACTCATGACCCAGAGATCAAGAGTCACACGCTCTACTGACTGAACCAGCCAGGTGCTCCCCACCTTTTTTTAAACTTTATTTATTTTGAGAGAGAGAGCACACACGCTAGGAGGGATGGGGCAGAGAGAAAGAGAGAGAGAGAGAGAGAGACAATCCCAAGCAGGCTCTGCACTGTCCTTGCAGACCCCCACACGGAGCTCAGCTTCACGACCCGAACTGTGAGACCACGACCTGAGCCGAAATCAAGAGTCGGATGTTTGACAGAGCCACCCAGGCGCCTCACACTAAGACATTTTTTAAAGCACTTTGAGGAAATAATGATTCATAACATTCATAGACATGAATAAGTGAAATGAAATACTCTCTCCGTAGCACACTGAAACAAAGCCCACACCTGGTTCAAAATAACGCGAAACTGCTCATCATTCATGCAGTGTTACTGAACTAATCTAAAGGCCAAGAGGTACTACAACAAACCACCTGGTCCACAGAGACAGAACCCAGCCTTTGTCTTCGGCCCAGCCTCTTGATAACAGAAGCAACATTGAAATGACGTTGTCTATTTGCTTAAAAGTAAGATGGTTTTCATCTGCCCATTCATTTGTTTGTTCAGTAATTCATTTCATCAAGCAAGCTCATTTATCAAGCCCCTACTACGCGTGGCTACAGATCTAGATCTGGGGCAACATGACAAAGGGACAGAGGCAGCCTACGCACTGGCAGAACTCGGTGGGGAGCACATTGCAGATCCTGCTTGGGCTTCAGCTCTCATTTAGCGCCGTGTCTCCCGGGAAGCCTCTCTGATCCCCAGCACCGGACCACCTCCCAGACGGGGGCCCCGCTGTGACCCCCTAGCCCTGTGCCCCTCAACACAGCACTGTCACATGCTCCGTGATCGCCTCCGCGTGTCTCCAAACCCCTCACCGGTCGGGGACCTTCAAGGGCAGGGACCGCTCCTCTCTCTCCCCCTGCCGCAGCCTGGCATGTGCTAGTTGCCTAATAGATGCTTGTGGAAGGAATGAGCAGAGGAATAAGGCCAATAGGCTTTTTGTCAAGTGTACGTGAGGGCCTTATAGGAGCAGCGTGTGATGGGAAACCTGAGGAGGAAGTGATTAACTTCGAGGAACCAGAAGAGGAGCGGTTTACACTAAGGGTTGGAAAATCAGTAGCAGAGGAGAGGCAGAGGGCTGCCCGTGAAGAGAGGGCAGCAAGCGCGGAGGCTGGAGGGAGCCAAGGCTGGCTGCCCAGCAGGCAGAAGCTCGTTGCGGCTGGAGCAGGTTCGAGAGGCTGGGGTGGCCGTGGAGGGGATGCAGAGGTGGACAGGGCCACCCATGAAGGAGCCTGCTAGCCACGTGTGGGTCAGTTGCCTGCGGGTGCTGTCCCTCAAGTGTGGGGCAACATGTTCAGGGCACGGGGACAGTGCAGGCTGCAGGTGAGCAGAGCCCTCAGGGCAGTCGAGTGGGTGCAGAAGGGGAGATATGGGCACAGGGAATACAGTAGTCCAGGGCGCCAGGGGGCTCGGACAGGTGAGCATCTGACTCTTGATTTCAGCTCAGGTCATGATCTCGCAGTTTGTGAGCTCGAGCCCTGCATTGGGCACTGCTGAGCCTGGAGCCTGCTTGGGGTTCTCTCTGTCCCTTTCTCTCTATTCTTCTCCCTCCTGTTCTCTTTCTCTCAAAATAAACAGACAAACGGGTGCTTGGGTGGCTCAGTCGGTTAAGCGTCCGACTTTGGCTCGGGTCATGATCTCATGGTTTGTGGGTTCAAGCCACACATCGGGCTCTGTGCTGACAGCTAGCTCAGAGCCTGGAGCCTGTCTTTGGATTCTGTGTCTCCCTCTCTCTCTGACCCTCCCCTGCTCATGCTGTCTCTATCTCTCTCTCAAAAATAAATAAAACATTTAAAGAAAATAAGCAAACAAACAAACATTAAAATATATATTCGCCCAGTAGAGAGGACAGTGGCAGTGAGGTTAGCAATGAGGCCGTCAGAGTGAGGGATATTTAGGATGTAGAGTCAACAAAGCTTGGTGGGTTTC